CTTTATGTGATTGGGCTACCATAATTATGATGGATCTCGAGACAAAAATTTTCATTAACTTTCTGTCTTCAGCTATTCTAGGTAGCTGATCATAATACGACATTCCTGTTCACTGTTATCAAGCCATGTCTTAGTTGGTATACCTGCTTTTTCCTGCCAATTGGAGTTGAATCAAACTACTTTATTAAAACAAATACCTCTTCGAGTTCTTCATCTGGTAGTGCAGCCGATCCTATGCAGCGTAAGCTATCAAGTTGCCTCTCGGTATCGGAGCTAAATCCAGCTTGGTCGAAGGCATTTGCATATCCGCTCAACTCCTTGCTGAAACTCGCACTTTCGAGGTTACCCATGTCCTGAGCAGGGGAAAAGTCAATAGGATTGGTGATGACAATGCCATAGAAGTTGAGTTAAATACGATTGTAATCGAAAGTGATGAGTTAGCATGACAAAATCAATCAATAACATGATCGCAATGACTTTTGAAAATACAGCCTATGGTGATTTCAATAGCCTGGTCTTTAAATGTGCTGACATTAATATGATATATTGGATTGCGTAATCCGAACATGATTTCTATGGGATATACACTAGGATATTGGAATTCGTTGCGAACATGTATAGTAAAGTTACCTTATTATGTTTGTACTTACAGTATAGATTCAAAGAAACGAAGTATAACTCAGTTCGGGATATAATATTAAAATATTTTTGTAATATTTTGTTTAAACTGTAAGATAAATGGATATAAGATACCAGATATCCCCATACTTACACATCACAAAGACATATCTTTATATCTATGTGGAAAGTTTCCCATCTTACATGACGCATTAAAAATGCTGAAACCATTTAATGCATGTACATAATATTTTATCATGATTTTAGGTGATTTTTTAGATAAATTCAATTCTGGTCAATTTGAATTTGATATATGATTTCTACCTGAAGATATTCATTTATCAATTATTTTCAAATATTTCTAACTATAAAAAGGGGTTTTAAGCGGCATTAGTGTCCTTTGGCAAGACGTTAATCTATTTTGGCACTCTCCACCCAGGTGTTTAATGGGTACATCCTATAGGATGCGACAGTTACTGTGGTTGGATGAGCAAGTGGCGATTGTCAAATGGCGACTGGCCGGAATGCTCCCCAGGGAGTGGAGAATGTGCATACATTGTGTGCGGGTAAGCCTGCATCCGATGACCGGGTTAATAATATGTACTTCGCCTAGAAACAAAGTATTATGCGCATTATAAATATGAGCTATTATTGTTATATTTACCATTTGCTCCCGCTTGTATTTAGTGATACTCGTGTTATAGTCCCATGCCTTGCATGAAGACTTGGAATACACGTCCATGACCCTGGTGTTGAGTTCACCCAGAAATTCTGTTGCAAGTGCTTCATCGTTGCCGCTGCCGGCAGGAGGTATTGGATCTTCAATAAAGCATTCAACAAAGCATTCTGGTCCTATAAACAGGATCAGGACCAGAGCAGAGAGCAAGAAAGCCCGTATCATTTTGGATGGGATGCTGTATTCAGTCACTCTAAATCGAGCTCCTTTCTCTTCCGACCACTTAGCTTATTGAAAGGGTATAAGGCTAAATCTCAGCTTATATGCTTTAATATCGCCACAAAGTAAAGTCAATAAGTACTTCGTACAAAACTCAAATAATCGTTTTGCTTTGGGGGTTTGCTTGCTAAAAGAGAGAAACAAAGGAATACAAAGAGAAGTCCTCGAGAATTTGCAGCAACGCCCATTTTGTCAGGAGAACGGGTCACTCCACAAAACGATGCAACAATTGGTTTATGATGGTTTGAGCAACTTGGACTCTGCTTTATGACCATAAAACTGAAAAGTATTTGTTTTGTTGGCGTCGTAATTGTCGTTAACGTTACCCACTGCTACATGTCTTGACATGACAACCTTTAATAGAATTTTACAAGATAGAAAACAACTAGGTATATAAAAAATCTCTTTACAACTCTGTGTTTGGCTATTATCTATCTTCATATTAAACTATTTCGCTCAATATGTCGCCGACCCCTCTTAAAGATACTTCTTTCTCTGCTCTTCCTCTTATTCGGTTTCTGCTTTCACACATCCCATTTCTCGATATGGTTTGTCTTTTCATCTAAATTTACATTTGTTGTTTTAAAACCAAACAGGGACTTTGCCCAACAGTCTTCATTTCAGCCCTTTCTCCACAGTTACAATTGATAAAGATTATCCCTGACCACTGAAATTCATTTGTTGTAAATGTACTGGAACAGTTTCCCGTTTGTGAGACATGAATGTTGCTTGATCTCTAATTTGTCAACGCCCCTTAAGTTTATTACTCTGAAACTACTGGTGCAACAGATTTTGATTCCATTTCGGGCACATATCTGTTCGTCGAGTACACGCATAACGAATACTGAAAGTAATTCATATTATGAAAATATCAAAGTTGTATACAAAAAAAAAAGATTTTTATTGCCGAGTATCCACCCTATTTGCTTAAAATGTGTCACGTGACACTCAACATTTTGTTGTATAAACACCAGTTTACAGTTGTGTGCGCCATTTTAAACAAAGCTAATGACCTAGGAGTCATGTATTTATGCGTAAATTAAGATTGCGCCCATGCAAATGATGACATCACTGCCTGCGCGCTGCGTTGTGCGCGCACATCATCATTTGCATGGGCGCAATTTTAATTTACGCATAAATACCAGAGGTCAGAGGTTATTGGCCCCAATTTTGGGGCCAATGACCCGAGGTCAACTGTCTGCGCATGCGCACTGATACAACTGTAAACTGGTGTATTAGGTTATTTGTTAGCGAGTATCCTATTGGCTTAAAAGGTGTCATGTGACACTCAGCATTCTGTTATTATATGCACGTTCACGAGCGTGCAATAAAACCTTTTTTTGCACAGCATATGGCATCTCTCTTCAGGCACGGATCCAGGATTTCTTAGAGCCCAATTTTTTTAACTTTTTGGTCCCGAAAATTTGAAAAATTGCATCATCCCCCCCTTGAGCGCCAGGGGGGGGGGGCATCTCCCAAAAAAGGTAAAATTAAAGTGTTTTTACACGTTTTTTTCCCAGGAGGGGGGCCGGGAGATTTATATCGATCTATATCTTTATGCCATAGAGAAACTTAGTTGTATGGTCGGGCGCATTTACTGTAGTGTCGACCATGGGGGTATACGGTGGGTTATAGAGAAAGTCCCCGGCTGGAGGGGCACAATTATTAAGTACGGGGACCCCCTCCCCCGGGCTCCCCCTTCCGTTGCAATTTTTTTTTTTTTTTTTGTTTTGAAGAATAAATGTATAAATTCAGTTTGTCAGCAATGTTGCTTAATCCAAGAATAGATAATCATCTAATTGTCGGCTAATTGCTCATTCGACCATGCCACTATTTGAAGGGGGCAATTAAAGGAGCGAAACCGCTGATAGATGTTTGCCCTTTTCAGTTAATAATTGTTACATTTTCAGCTATGATTGCAAATTTCCTGTTAAGACAAAATTCAATTTCAAAAACCGGTGCCAAATTTCAAATTGATTCGGAGAAAGGGCAACGAAAACCCCAGAGAGAGGGAGGGAGGGAGGGAGGGAGAGAGAGAGAGAGAGAGAGAAAGGGGGAGGCGGTTGAGATAATGTTTATGCAACAGTTGAATTTATCTACTATCTACAACTTGTAGTTTTGTTACAGAATGAAAGTCTGATGGCAATTATTATTTGTTTTGCTTTTCTGAGTAAAGAAATGAGGAGATAACCTGGAAAAAAGGAAATAATGAGAGCCAAGAAGTTAGCATTAACAATTTTTTTTTTTAAATCCCCAAATGTGTAAAAATTTTGTTTTTCCCTAATTGCCCCACTATTATCATTTCCTTCGCTAACAGAGGGAAAGAAAGAAGGGAAGCAAGAAAAAAGTCAGTTGCCTCCAAGAAAAACAAAACAGAACAAAGAAGAAAAAAACTCAGCATAAAAAGAACATCATTGCAACTGCAAGTGTGCCGATCGCTTGAACAAAACAAAACAAAAAAAAGTTGCAATATTGATGGTATCTGTCCATCTAGGAGTTTCAATATGGCGATGGAAGAACTTAATTTAATTTAATTTACTTCTAAGTTAAGGAACTTTACATTACTATCTTGATCTAAGGAGACACGAACGAACGAATATGGCGGCGATACTGAACAGACTGGGACCGGTATCAAATAAACTTGGCGAGGAGGGTGCACCTGGGGTATAGGGTCTCTCAACATTTAAAGGAAAATATCTTGGGAAGAGGGATCCAGGGCAGGAGGCATAGATCACAAGATCAAGATCTATTATATTTAATAAACAGTGTTAGATCGTTAAAAGTAAACTAGATGTATAGTGCTCAACTTAGAAATACTCTCCAAATCTCATGAAATGGAAATAAAATGGGGGTCCCTCAGGCAATGCACTGGGAGTATCTTCCTCCCTCTAGCCAATGGGGGAGGGGGGGGGGGGGACAGGAACGAAAGTAGAAAGGAAGATGATGGGATGCAGTAAATACATTTTCTTTTTATCTCAGTTCTTGGAATTTATAATGCTTCTCAATATGTAGCTATATTTTTTATCTTCATGATAATAATAATAGTCATAAAAATATAATAATTAGAAAAATAATGATAATAATAATAATAATCAAATGTCATATATCCTGTGTTATTTCTACTTAATATCTGATTATTTTTGGAGTGAGGGGGAGGGGTCACACGGAATGAACAACATATAATGCAGTATACATTTATTGCAAAAGAGATTTCAATCCATTTATTAATTCACAACCATATAGTCAGTGAAGCTTCAAACAAAACAAATAATGACAGACACAAAACTGCTTCAAAGGTCAAAATTGATCAAAAAGAGAAGGGCAGAAAAAATATTGTGATTTGGTATACAGTGGAATAATGGAACTCCAAGTTGTAAAAGATGGCAAAGTAACCAATTTATAAGTTTATGAAGATTTCGATGAAATATCGATTTACAGTGTAGCAATCATATTTTTTAAAAAGAGTGAAGAATTTGTGTACAGCACAGCGAGAACTCAATAACTCTAAAACGAGTCAGTGTATTTTTGCATAACCCATAATAACATGAGTCAAAGGTAAAATCTGCAAAATATGTTATCATTTACAACAAAACTATTCTTGCATTCTCAATATTCAGAACCCCACATCTATACAAAATAAAGTAAAAAAGACTTGCATAAATAAATGTAACATTAAATCAAATATCTTGAAATTTACCATTGAGAGGTTCTTCACAATAAGCTTCGATCTACTGCATTTATACAATAATTCATTTAATAAAACATGTTTCTTTGAACAAAATAACATAAGCCAATATTGACAGGATTAATGTGTTTTCTATGTTTCACATTCTATTAACAAAGGAAAGAAAAGGGACTTTCAAACCACATGACATGATTTTAAATGGTCAGTGAATCAAGATCTAGCAATAAACAGACAAGATATACGCCGTTATCCTCTCAAATTTTTAGTGTCGGCTAAATCAAATTCAATTCGACTCAAACAATATAAATGTATGTAACTCAAGCAATATTTTAGACTGTATTTAATTATGCAAGATTTGATACCACTAGAACCAGTTTTCAAAAGTAAAATTGGGATATTATTGGTGTAGTTCAAGCCTATTTTCTCTACATTTTCAAAACAAACCTTTTAATTTCGTAGTTGGTTTGTTTCTTATTTCATATGAAGAAAAAACTGCAATATCAACATTCTCAAAACAAAGTGTTAGTAGTATCAACCTAATTCCTAAATAAAGCTTCAAAGCGAGATAAGTATTCATTCCTTTACGAGTCCAAAACCATCTTTTATAAACGATGAAATACAAATAGTCATTAATTTCACACAACATATATAATGGTGCATATAGATCTACAATATAATTTCATTATAAAAACTTGTGCTGAGCTATCAATTTACACAGCCATATGAATGAAAAATAAACATACAAAATACACGCCCCAAAACCCAAACAATTGTGCATAAGGTGTAATTAATCAGTGATATGATAAAACAAGGCAAGCAAGAAAAAAATGACTTTAAACATATCCACACTAATACCACAATCACAGCACCAAACCAACTCCACGCTGACTCCACGATGACTCCACATCGACTGCTTCATTGAAATTGGGGGCTATGCTTTTTTGATCAGCCTGGGCCCCGTTTCATAAAACTTGATATCATCAACAGGATACAATAACAGTTATAAGTTAATGAAATTGTAGCATCTCATTGACTGAGAGCAGATTTGTCATAGAAATTTAGCATTTGTTATTGATAACAAGTTTTATGATACCGGGCCCACATGTTAGCCTCACTAATGTGACTGAGGTACAGAATAAAAGAACATTATAGTGACATGACATCAAATGTAACATGTGTACAGGCACAGTACTGCAAACAAATTGTTAGCTCAACAAGCTAAACTGCAGTTTAGTTTTCATATTAAATATAAATGCATTTTTTCAGGACTTCTGTATTTCCTTCTGGATATTAGAATCAGCCTCTACCCTACATGAAACTCACTCTTTTCACATAAAACTTGTAAAGACCTAGTAATTTTGTATCAACTCTCCATACAATGTTTCTCTCATGAAATATATCCATGGAGTGCATTTTTCCCCATTTGTGTTCACTCACCGCAATTTATTATACCAGTGACTAGAGTCTAGTGTTGCATTACGTTACTTACTAATTGTATTTTTTTTAAATAAATGAATACTTTTAAGCATAGCTCAACATGTATTTACTTTCAATAATTTTAGCTGCTCAATACACATTACCACAAAGTGGAAACATACCATCCAGCTGCACAAATATAGATTTTAAACCTACAAAAAAGTGGTTACATACTGTAAAACCAAACTATCAACAACAAAAAATTCATGAACAAAAGATTCATGCCACAATATAATTGAATTGCAAAAGTGAATTTTTCAAGTCACAAAAGATTCTGACCAAATCAGCCATCTCTTATACTTTTATCACAGGTTTCTAGTGGCAGATGTTTCTGGTTTTAAGGGAAATATATACTGACTACCCTTAAAATAAAATTTCAAATAATAAAAAAATAAAAATCTCTAAACGATGCTCTTTTATAATATGCATACTTTTAGTATAAGGATTTTCAAGTGTTCAATGAAAGCAAATAGTGAGTGGTTAGCAATCCTTACAGTAACGGGTCATTTTTATGATTACTTACGACTACAGAATTTTACTTCTTTTACAACAGATACAGGCAATAAAAAAAAAATTCAGGGAGTACTGTACAACTGCACATGCAAACCATAATATCAAATATCTGCACAAAGAATAAAGCTTGCTTGAAACATTGTGATCCACACTATACCTAATGACATTTTCTCTGAACACATATATACACAGGTACAATACAAAGATATAAGAATGATGACGTGCAAAAAACCCAAGGAATATCAAATTTTGTGCGCTTGTTTGGTGTCAGTAGTTTTTACAAAGGTTTTTTTAAATCTAAATAGCAAATCAGAATGTTGGAAACTTCATTATAGTTCCTTTCTTTCGATCCACTTTCTTCTGAAAATATGAGTACAACACTGTCCATTGAAATGACGTTCGTCATTAAAAAAACGTTTTAGAAAACACCCCAAAAGACCACATTTTGTGTCTCCCTTGGATGGTCTTTCGATACAGGTTTGACAAATAAAAATTCCACATAAATACTGTAATCTTTACACCAAATTCATTTCATCAGAGCTGATAAGAAACAGGGTGATGAATACAAACATGTCTTGACAAAATAATGGACCCTCAATGAAACATAGATATACAAATGTTTGACAATTTTCTCTGAGGACAAGTAAATATGTACAACTCCATTTAAAAACACAGTACTCAGTTTACATACATTTCAGTTACAAAATAAATGAATAAAACAGGAATAACATATATCTGGAGCAAAATATGTACTATTTTCGAGTAAAAGTACAATCTTGTTCCCCTTGATATTTGCAAGGACAAGGACATACATACTGTATACATTTCCAAATAAGTTGAAGTATGTTATTACAACTCCAATTGGCAGCATATTTCTGGAGTTTATTTCAAAGATCTTCAGCCTAAACTCCAAGTAATGATGTTGAATGGTATGTCCTTTTTTTAAATCTTGCAGGTACTTTAATTTTCTCACTCACAAGAAATGTATTTGTGTCATGCCACACAATTTATTTTCTATAAATATGATGTTATACAGTGCGTCCCAGAAAAAACGAAACCGAGAAGTATCGATGCTTTATCATAACTTAATCACAACCATAATTAATGAATGATACATATTTGGAAAGCTTAGAGTCTCCTCTTTCAGTTGATGCTACTCACGTGGTGCATATTTCACGCATGAGTGATTAAAAGCAATTTGAAGGAAGGAAACCAAAAAGTAATTTGGCAGGCGGTATCGTACATTTTCATAATTTTAACAAACAAATTCGTTTTTACTGGGTGCCTGCCGTAGCAAAAAGCAGATTTGACAAAAGACTTAACTCCGTTTCGTTGACAATCAGCCATGCATGAAGACTCTCGTCTACGGCTGATTGTCAACGAAACGGAGTTAAGTCTTTTGTTAATTTCGTTTATTGATACGGCAGGCAGCCAGTGAAAACGAATTTGTTTAATAAAATTATGGACATGCAAGCACTACTTTAAACAAACAGAACTTTGTCATTCCTCGCTCATTTTTCCTGATCGAGGTGTCATATGAAAGGGCAGAAACTCAACTTTCTAGAAATGTGAATTTTTCTTCGAAATTCAGATACCGCCTGCCAAATGTCTTTTTGGTTTCCTTCCTTCAAATTGCTTTTCCTCACTCGTGCGTGAAATATGCATTATCTGGGTAGCATCACATGAAAGAGGAGACTCTAAGCTTTCCAAATATGTATCATTCATTAATTATAGTTGTGATTAAGTTATGAAAGAACATCGATATTTCTCAGTTTCGTTTTTTCTGGGACGCACTGTATATGTAAATGTAGTTATATGATTTATCTAATATTTATTTTTTTGAAAATCCAGTGACTTTAGTAGGAATTAGAAGAACTAGCATCCACTTACCGGTATCCAAATTATAATAGAAAGAAAGAAGAAAAAACCTCAACACTTTAAACATGCGGTGAAATCTCTCTCCTAACAAAAAAAAATGCTGTTTCGTAAACCACATTCTATAAACCAATAATTGGAATGTGGTGACAGCACACACACTATCAAGTACTAACATACATGTAATCGCATACTGTACAAGAAACCTTCACAGCATATTGAGCATATCATAGCTCTGATACAATCATTTTCAAAATAGCTCTTATTGTACATACGATTTTATACTACATATGCTGATGATTTAAGACTTTCTAAAATTGTAAAAATCTAATTCTCATCTTGGCAGCAGAGTACAAGCCTAAATGTGCTCTGAGCACCATCAACTGTGTAAACTATAGCAATAGGATGCCAGTGGGTAGTGAGTATAGTGCTCTTATCAATACATGAAGCAGTGCAAGAATAAATACATAAATACACCAGAAAAGTATTAACAGGACAATGTCTAAATGATCACTTCACTAATCAGTGTTTATCATTTTACCATTTTGTCTCATGATATCACTGAATGCTCCATGTCAAGTGCCTACTAGTAACACCCTGCAGTCTTGAGCTAACATTAATACTATGATGCCAAGAGGTTCACCGGCAGAAGGTGATTTGAAGATAGTGGCAGACTCAGCACACAACATGATCTAAATTACAATACAATGATGGGTTAACATCTTTGCAAGGAGCACAAACAGCAGACAAGTCTCTTGGCAAAGGTCTACAGTCAAATGCAAGCCTTGATTTGATGGTAGCCACTCTCACACTTCCAAGGTGCTGCTATCACCATTCCAGTTTGACTGGATACTCTCCGGTCAAGCAAGCTGTACAGTGAAGACGCTTCTGTTTTTTGCTTTCCTCGATCTGCATGCCTTCGGTGACTGCCATTCGGAGGCCCTCTATTGACAGGTATGCGATGCTGTCTGCGTTGAAGTAACCTGCCAGACGGTCGACCGGGATTCGGTTGGCAACGAGCTCCTCCTTAGTGGGGATGTTGATGCCCATGTAGCAAGGGTTGGTGACCGGTGGGGATGCTACTCGTATGTGAACCTGGGGATATGATACATGAATAATATATTAAAACTAAAATACCTTACAGTTAAAATTACAAGAATGAGTTCATATGTATCCAGACTAGTAAGCGTGAGAATGTTAAATTCGAGAATGGCACACAGAATGAGAGAATAGATAACAGGAGAGATGTATAACTACAGACTGACAGGTAGAGACAGAGAGACAAATGTGGAGAAAAGGAACAGAGTATGGAAAAAGACAAAAATGACAAACCAAGCATGCTTGTACAGGAATAGGAAGAAACAATCTTTCTTATGACTGTATCTCACCAATATTAATACGTGCTAAGAAGATATATAAAATGTATTAATTAATTCTAATTTTCTTCTCCTATTTCATGAGCTCTCTCCACTCCTACAATTTTCTCTTTCTCTTTTCTTTTCACCATGCCCACTCATTCTAATTATTTTCTTCTGTAATACTGACTCCCCCCTCCCCCCTCTCTCTCTTTCTCTTTCTCTATGTATTCCTTCCCAATGATATTTTCCTCTATCTCATCTATCTTATTGTGTGTGTTTGCTAGTGTGTGTATGCTAGGATGTTTGTATGTCTGTGTGTGGTCATGCACCTGTATCTGTCTATTTATAGTAGCTGTTAAGATGATCACAATTTCCTAATTTATATTTAATTTGCTGTTTTATAATTTTCTCAAATGTTTAGATATTTCTCTAACAAAGTTATACATTTTATATTGTATACCGGGGCCCTGCCTACAAGCAACCTGCTTACTAAGGGTATCCCTCCATGTTTATGTTTATATTGTTATTTGAATACAATGTGTCAATACTATATTATATTTGTTCTTTTTAAAGATGGAAAAATAAATTGAAATTGAAATTGAAATTAAAATTGAAAATTGAAATTAAAATTAATAAATCTGTAAGAAGAACAAAAGCTATTTTGTAAATGCTTAATTGACCCCATCCCCTCTCCTTCTCTTATTCCCAATTAAAAACAAATAACCTTTTAGCCTGCCCCATCTAATTAGGGATAAAATAAGACAAGGAATACGTTTCTTACCTCTTTTGCTCCAGACTTTTTTAGAAGTTTGATGATGGGACCAATAGTTGTTCCCCTCACAATGGAATCGTCAATGATGATAATGCGCTTGCCCTTGAAGTTCTCTGTGAGAGCGCCAAACTTCTTTGCAACACCCAGCTGTCTCAGTCTCTGGTTGGGCTGGATGAATGTCCTTCCCACATACCTGTTCTTGGTCAACACTTCCATGTATGGGATGCCAGACTGAAAACAGAACAATAAAGCTTAAAGATAAAGGTGAGTTCTGGAAATGCGATTGCATTGTGAAAGAAAAGGTGTGGAATGGATCAGAAAAAGTTGATCATGAAGCAATGTAAGTATTGGTGTGTACTGCAAGGTGCTGGAGTCATGAAAATCATAATAAATTTGGCCCAGTCTTGGTAAAGTAACAAGCACTGTACACAGAAAGATGTATATGGGACTACACAAATGGTGTCGGGGCTACTATACCTTGATTTCCTTATCTTTCTATGCTCATTTCTCAGCCAGTATACATTTTCTTCCAAAATTGTTTGGCACATGACATTTATTTGTAATCTTGAACATTCACAGTAAGCTTCGTTTGATTCTGTGAGAATTAATTTTCTTTTTTTTTACCAGAACTCAAGTTTATCTTTAACGGTTTGATTGTTGCGAACCAGTTGGATAGAGTTCAGCTCAAGATATAAGATGGCTGCACATAGCTGGTTATATCCCCAAAGGATTACCTCCTTTAAAGCCCCACTGTACTACTTGTAGCTACTTGCTCCCTCTATATAGAAAACATACCTAAGCAGTGACCATTGGTCCCCCATGATCCTCTTTTTTTAATGTTAATTGAGAGCTGAGTTGATGAGATAGCTACCTGTCAGTAACCTCGCTGGGTGGTCTAATCCCCCTTGGCTTAGTACAGACGGCCTTTAAACAGTGTCAAGATTAAAAATTGTATGTATGTACACTATCCACTGCTGTGAAGGATGATGGTTAAACACCTTTAGCCTCAGTAGGTGAATTCGATACTGTGCTTTGCCTTAAGATGAAGGCAAAGAGGCATGGTATATTCAAGAGATCCTTTATCATATTATTTTTGTAGTACACATCCAATTTTAACACAATACTTAATTAGTTCATCCATGCTGTGTACGCATCTTAGATTTATTGCCCCAACGAAATTGTTAAGCATTGTCCTGTAAATATGGTATTAATAGTAAATCTTGAGCACACAGTTTTTATCAATCTGACGTTTCTAATCATGGTATGTGGTATACAAAGCTGATCATTTTCTAGTTAAAATGCACTTCTCTAAATATGTCAGTTGTGATTTAATGTATTTTGTGGATAAAACTTATGCGAATCCGAACCACACACAAAATTCACTATCATGTCTCGCACACACAAATTTCTTGGTTTTACAGATTAGTCTTAATAACAAAATTTGATACTCACCACATGTGAGAAGCCTAGAGCTGCTGGGGTGGCAGACTCTGGGACGGTGCTCACGATGTCTGCTTCAACAGGAGACTCTTGAGCCAACCGCTGACCACACCTCCTCCGCACCGAATATACCATTTGTCCTGTAACACACGCAAGAATAACATCTCTTATCATCATAGGAATTCTCAATGTTATTTTCTTGTATTGCCAAGTTTAATGGCTTACTTTTCAAGTCTAACAAACTTGATAACATTTAATTGACAATATACAATGTATGTTCGTAACTCTGTATATTGATCCTTGTTCATCATACACCCATTTAAACTTCAATTTAAAAAAAAGATTCTTCACAGTCATAATCTTAACCATGGATAGCTTCTTTTCCAACAAAGAAAACAGGAGCTAGGAATGTGTAATCTACAAGTGCAGATACTCATTTTCCAAATGTATTACTGTGAGGATAAATCCGACCATGCAGTTAAAACTGGCTATATTTTGTTTCTGCACATGAGGTTATGCGCAAGGTTAATAGATTCTGATATAAGGAACTTTTGTCAATATTCTTGTTTTAGAGATAAATAGTAGTACATGTTTGTAAAATACCTTCAAGAATGGTGTCGGGTCTTGAGAAGTAGACATACTCAAAGATGCAGAAAGCCTGTGGGTCTTCAGCCGGACGGGGTACAATGGCCAGAGATTTGATACCAGTCTTTGAGATCTCAACGATCTCCCCAGGAAGGACCTCTCGGTAGTATTGTGCACCAATAGACTGGAAGGAGCAGGATTCGGAGGAGACCACCCAGCCCTCCACATCATCATCCTTTGGGCAGTCAACTGGAATATAAACATTAAGAGAGAGAGAAAAAAAAAACATCAGGGTTCGATTAACTTGGTTCCCACATGGAATAAATCTCAGAGTCTTGACTAGATGTAGACTACCCCCCCCCCCCTCTCTCCCCCCAAAAAAACCTTCCCCCTCTCTCTCTCCAATTACAAATTAAAGGTATTATAAAAGAAACTTTCACTACTAAAAAATCTAGTTTCACAAGTGTAACATATTCCTATAAAAATACATTTTTAGAATCTTTTGATTCGTTTTGTTCAGGTTCTACTCACCACTATGTCTTGCATGGACAAGCCTCCCGATACAGAGGGGCCTGTTGCCGTAGGGATCCCTGACGGCATAGATGGAGCTTTCATGGAGGATGAGAAGGGAGTAAGCCATGAGAGCCTCATTCATCAGTTGACGTATCCTACCAAGCCAGTTTGGGCCTTCAGGTTCCCCCTCGGGAGGGGCGTGGGTCAGCAGCTGGGTGATGACCTCAGAGTCTGAACCAGTCGACAGACCTACACCGTGTTTAAGCACCTATTTGAGAATAAATTTGTATACGACAAATTATTATTTTGCATCAGATTTTACAAATAGATGGGTTCGCAAATCTCTTCAAGGCTTTTTCAAATCTGACATAATAATCCACCTAAGCATCTATGTAAAAAACTGATATGGCAAACTAAGAAATACTGTACAATACAATACAAATGAATGGCAAGAAGCAATTTTTTTTTTTTTTTTTGCTAGTGCAAAAATACATGTATAATCGCCCCTTGATGATCTGTTTCAAATTATACAAAGTAGTGTATGCTTGTCATGCTCTGGCGACAATCGCTTTGCAGAAGAAAACAAATGTGAATTATGATCTTTAACTTTGGATCTAACACAATGTACCAGTACCTAATATTTTGAACTTAATCCCAAACCTAACTTTTAAACCTACATGCAACCCTAACCTATACAAAATATTAAGCCTGGAGAATTGACACCAAGCATGTGTCGTACAAGCTTTGTTACTCTACCTTCATCCTAAGTTGAGCAGCATTCACCAGCTCTCCATTATGCGCCACAGCGATGCGTCCATGGACCGTCTCCACATCAAACGGCTGGCAGTTCAAGAGCTCTGATGCCCCGGCTGTGGAGTAGCGATTGTGACCAATGCCCAGATTACCATGTAGATTGGCTAGGATCTCGTCTGTGAAGATTGCACTAACCATACCCATGCCCTTATGTTTGCGGTAGTTCTTGGATGAACCCTGACTCGTGATGATACCGGCGCTCTCTTGACCTCTGAAGTTACAACAGCACAAATATTTCGTTTTAGCTCATTACTTCCCATCCTGGAAAGGTTGTTTGAAATGTCATCCCTGCCAACCTTTCAGAGCAAATAATTAGGAATTCTCCAAAGGATATACTTATAATATACACAGAAGTTTTAAGTAAGAGAGAGAAATCTATGTTTCATAATATTAGTTTAAAGGTCAGAAATTAGGAATCATTCTTCCAAAATAGCAAGGGTTTGGCAGCTACAGTATATGTAATGATTCCAGGAAATCCATGAACATTACCAATAGTCTAAATATCTGCACCATAAATCATAATAAAGCTAAGAGACCAGCCCCCCTCTCTTAATCCAATCTTGGCTTCATACTCTTGATATCAAAATTGTGTACAATATCATGAAATGGTCGACAGGGGGGGGGGGGGGTAGAGGGAGACAGGGGTTGTGTAGATAATATTCAAGAAGGTTAAAAACATCCTGACAAGTGACAAACAGGAAGAGACTGCATACTTCTCAGTTCTGTTATCAAATTGTAATCATTTTGGACCACTCTGTACTAGCCTTTTATCACAACCAAGTCCACTCATGTGTCATTGACAATAACAAGATTAAGCAGATTTAAACTTGAGGAGATCCTTTCATACCCCTTTTAAACCATGTCATAATGTATGCAAACAGATAGGTACATTATCTATGACCAGGATTCTTGTCATTGCATAATAGCCATAGTGCTACATGCTCTACCAATGAGGAAGGGGGAGGGGTCTCCTTTATTGTCTGTTTAAATCCAGGAGAGGATTAACTCATACTGTAATATAGGGTTAATCTGGCTTTGAACTGTTTGGAGCCAGAAGTGTGCTAACTCTCACTCATTTTCTTTACAACATGGAGGTAACGCCCATCTGGGTCTAAGCTATTTGGAGCCAGGAGGGCAATAGCTCATATATTTTCTTAGCAGATGTTTCTGCACATATTGATAAATCAAATATAAAACATTCAAATAACAATAGTAAGTATATTAATTGATTTACATAAAGAGTGACAGCTTAAATACACATAATGTACAAATGCAGTGGCGGATCCAGGGGGGGGGGGCCGAAACGGCCGCGGCCCCCCCTATTGGCGGCGCAAAAGGAAGAAAAAAAAGAGGAAGAAAAAAGAGAAAAAGAGAAAGGAGAAGAGGAGGAAAAGAAAGGAGAAGAGAAAAGAAAGGAGAAGAGAAAGGAAAAAAAGAAGAGAAAGGAAAAGAGAAGAGAAAAGATAAAGAACAAAGCCCCCCCCCCCCCTCCCTTCCGGAGGGACCGAATTTGTGTTCCCAAAATTTCAGATAAAGAGGTTCTTTTCACGCAACAAAGTCCGGCCCGTAATACACAAAAATCCGGCCCGTACTGACTTTACACACCGGAGATAGAGGGGTGCTTTCAAAGAGAGGGAACATACATGTGCGTACCTTAGATAACACTGAGTGGGTGGGGGTGGGGAGGGAAGGGGGGGTGGGAAAAAGAAAAGTCGGGTGAGAAAGGGGGAAAGACAAGGAAATGGGACTAAGTGACAGTAACGACGAATGAGGGAAAACTGTAATCGGGAGATTTGGGGTCATTCCAGAAGGCTTGGCAAACGTCATTGAATAAAGGGGGGCCGGGCCGGTGTCGTGGCGTTATGTGTCTTAGCAAAATGTATGAGCAACTTGTATGGTGGATATGTGCGCTATATAAATATCAAGAAGTATTATTATTAATATTATGTAATGCTATAGGATATGGAATAGCAATTTACTCTTTAGGGACTTTTGAAACATGTAGTTGATGAGATAGCCACCTGTCAGTGACCTCGCTGTGTGGTCTAATCCCTCCTAACCACACTAGTGTTGATAAGCTTTAAAACAGTGTAGAGTCTAAATGCCCTTCTGAATCTGAACAGAGGATATGACCTCACCTGTGTTGGAGTCCAGTCAAACCCAGTGTGATTAGCTGAGGTATATCTAGCTGCGTGGGCCACTCTCCTGCAGCGACACATCCAAATACACCACATGCCTCATGAAGACCCCCATCTTCAGGGGTCCAATCCTCTGCTCTTGATGGCATTGAAGATGAAGGGGAGGACGGCAATGATGAGGATGATGATGAAGCCATGGTTATATGAAGAGCATCAGTGGCAGGATTCTGGATAAAACAAAAAGAATCGTATTTTGGAGCTCGAGCCTAGTGTTCAACTTCAACCAACCTTCAAGTTCAGTAGGGGGTGCTGGTTCGAAAATAAGGATCGCCCGCATAAACGAGGATATCTTTGTAACACTAACAAGGACAAATCGCGTCCTAAAAAATGAGCCCCCGCATTTTCAAGGACGATCCTTATTACCGATCCATGCGTTGGCGGTGCGAAAAACAGATTCCGCGATGATGCTCCATGATCATGCATCTACACTATCACTTTTATCAGTCACTTAGACCTAATTACGCTTAACGCTAACGCCGTGGCTGTTTATACAGCACAGGGCCCACAGAGACTTTCAATCAGCTATCACGTTATGAATGCTAAATCCTCGGGAGGACGGTAAACTACCCAGCCTTAATGACAATGTAAGTTAGACATATTAGAGTAATTAAGTTATATAATTTATGTGACAGACAGACAGACAGACAATTAGATCTAGGCTAATTTGGACAATCATCAGATCACGACTTACCACACACAAAATTGAATGCGTTGGACTACAGTTGCAATAAGATTCCTAATTCTGGTAGGCCTACGATCAAAATCCGTTTATGCTGACGGTAATGGAGTGCACGCTATCAGAAGGGGATTTAAATGTCTCGGCTTCAAAAGAAGTTCGAGGGAGACCGAGAGTGAATAGAAGTTCGATCAATCTAATCAGCATGACAATCATTAATCAATTCATTCATCTATTCAAAACCGGTGGTGCACGTTTCGTAGTTTCGGTGCGCGCTGCGGTGCATGCAGTGCTTGTATTCTAGAACAAGGTGTGCCAACAAAACAAGACAGAACCATGATAGAGGGGGTCTGCTTGCATATTCAAATTGTATTGTCCAATGATTGGATTTTTTTTTCGTTTGCATGTCAGTACAAGATTACAGATTATAAATATCAATAAGATACAAATGGATACATGCAAGATTTTATTGACTCTATCGACCCCCTCTCGGCAATGAGAGTACAAACATAACAATGATAAACATATGTGAACATAGACCGAAAGCTTCAGTCTCTCTAATCGTCGGTTGTTCCACTGAGACCACGTCTGGCTCCACTAGACCTCCGATTATAGATAGTATTGGGGAATGACAACAAATGTCAGTTTTATTAAAGAAATGACCCAAATCAGATGGTTATTGCTGTCTAATGTATTGGGGAATGACAACAAATGTCAGTTTTATTAAAGAAATGACCCAAATCAGATGGTTATTGCTGTCTAATGTGACCAATGATAAACATAATATGATAATATGAACAAATTAGACAAACATGTGATATAATATGAACAATGATAAACATGTGATAATTTGAACAAATAAACATATTTACAAATCAAGGCGAACTGGGCAATTCACCCTCCTACCGCTACGAGTGTGCCTATAACAACGTTGCTTATTTTACAGTATTACCATATACCCTTGACTCTTTTGAAAAATGTGACATAATGATTCTAACAAATTTTGCTAATTTCTTTAGATGGCAAGCGTGAGCTGTATTAAAATCCTTATCCATGTGCAACGCACTTGGTCTTAAGCTATACCACACAAGTTATTTGGTATATACATTTTTTTCTCATAGAAAGAATGGACATACACAAATATAATGAAATTCATCACCAATATATGTTGGTGTACAGAGTGGGCATTGCAAATCATGTACTACATTTGCATCAAATCTACCTTTACGGGTAATCTATGTGTTCTGCTTCTGCATCTAAATTTACTTAAAGTTATTGCATCCTTCTGACATAATATCTGCAGGTATTTTTAATAAACCAACTCATTCTTAAACATAGGTAACACAAAATGCGATAGTTCAACATGCATGCAGACAAAAATTCGATTCATAATTCAGACCAAGAGCGGATCCAGCCGGCGGCAGGGGAGGGGGCCCAATTCGTGAGAAAATATTTAGCGGCGAAACATTCGGCCGATAATTCGCTTAGTGGGGGGGGGGGGGGGGGTAGTGCATGAGCACTTATTCGTTTGGGGGCCCTCAAAAAAAAGGGGGGGGGGGTCATCTCCAAAAAAGGTAAAATTAACGTGTTTTTACACGTTTTTTCCCAGCCCCCCCCCCCCGGGCCTTCCCCCTGAATCCGTCACTGATTCAGGCTAAGTGGTTGCTGCTGTATGTTAGGGCATACTTATTTCCTTGTCTAATATAGATACCATAAACAGGTAAGTTTCAAAATAGGTGCTCTGACTTTTAAAAATTACATCAATAATAACATTTGAAAGGACAATAATAGCAGGGCGTCTCGATCAGCTCTCAGTATAGCATTTTTGTGCCCTCAATTTTATTGTGCTATATACCCGAACAACCATCGGATAGGTTGTGGTTTCTGTAGCTGTTAACCCTTTATGCCTGGTTAAGTTTTTAGAGATTAATGATTACAATGTATGTACAACACATATTAATGCAGTATACATTTATTGCAAAAGAGATTTCAATCCATTAAAACATCCTAGCTAGTTAGTGATGATTCAAAGAAAAACAACTAATGACAGACCAAAAAAAGCTTCCAAATTAGAAATTGATCACATAGGGAAGGGCAGAAATAATGTTGTGATTTGGAATACAGTGGAGGAAATGTAATCCAAGTTGTGAAAGATGGGGGAAAGATGGCAGAGTCCGGGGCAGAGTATAACCAACTTAAAAGTTTATGAACACAGACAGGAACATTGATTTAAAGCGTAGCAATCACTTCAAAAAGAGAATAATTGTGTAATTATTCTTAGCAATCACTTCAAAAAGAGAATAATTGTGTAATTATTCTCTTTTTGAAGTGATTGCTATGCTTTAAATCAGGTAAATGGGTACCTGGTAGGAATTTAATCCTTGAAATGCTAGAGCGCCGTATGGCAGCCGTGCTAAAGCCAGGGTAATAATCGGTAGCGCCAGGAGGGTCAAATCTGACTGACATGAGCGCCATACAAGAACGCACTATTATTATTATTATTTTTAATTTATAAGATTTTATGAGCATTTCTAAGCAAAAAAAATAAAACAGCAATTCAGTTTACTTCTAACAATCTAACACTGTTAAGTGTTTACCACCGACCTATATACACCCCCTGCCCAGATGAAGGGGGTCGCCCCCGGAAAAATTTGAAAAAGTGCCCCCCCCCCCAAAATGTATAGCAAATACTAACTAAAGACTGCAACACACTTTTAGGCTCTGGAGGGCCCAAGAGTGCTGCGTTTAGGCTATATGCACAAATCCTCTCGCTCCCTCATATAATATCCTTCGAAATGTACAAGTAAATATTTCTTGGTTTTATACTATATATTTTCGCTAAGTAAAGTATTTTTTTGATACAACAAAACTTCAAAAACCCGGAAATTGTGAAAAATGGTCTTTATTTCGAGAAAAATTACCCTTTAAAATGGGTACGGGTTTCGCGAGGCTTGAGCGGTACATCCCATTCAAAACCGATTCTGAGTATCCCCCGGGCTTCGCCCCTCTAGTTCACTTTGCTCCCTAGTCCCTCGCATTTCGTCCCCCGGTCATCGCGAAAGAAATCGCCGCCCCTGCCCAGATCCCTCTTCCAAAGATTTGTTGTTTTGTTGAGAGACCCTGTATACGTATATAGCACTCTCGTCGTTTTAGTCTATGATCGAGGCGCACATTTACAGTCTCACCGCCGCCCGCGCCCGTGGACTGAACACATTTAATTTTATTTGGTGAAATTTCATGTTAATATCATTATTTATTATCATTCCTCACTGATGTACTGTATGCGTAATGTGTATGAAATTGATGAATTTGTCTGATTATCACAGAGAAAGACGCAAGTCTGCACGATCAAGCTGATTGTATTGTCCCATATGCTGCTTTCTGTGTGGTGATATGTTGTGTAAAATTGTGATGTGGGCGTGCGTGTACGATGTACAGTACATGTCTGACACTGACACTAGTAGATCTACTGTAATATGTATGCATGCATGTAGACCGAAAGCTTCAGTCTCTATAATCGTCGGTTGTTCCACTGAGACTACGTCTGGCTCCACTAGAGGTCTAGTGGAGCCAGACGTAGTCTCAGTGGAACAACTCAGTGGAACAACCGACGATTATAGACCTACTGAAGCTTTCGGTCTAGCATGCATGTAGACTTATGCACTTTACATGTAGATGGTCTACAACTAAGACTACAACTACAAGATTATTCAGACATTAGAATATTTGGACCAAAAAAAAAAAGCATATTTTTGAAATAGATCTATTTAGGTGTAGAAATTAAGTCTGTAGATCTAGATCTAGATCTAGCTTAGACCGAATTTTTCTGTCTCTTTCATTCGTTAGCCTCTGATTTGGGTAGGGTTGGCTCCTCTCTAAAAGATTTGGGTAGGGTTGGGTCGGGTCTTCTCTAAAGAGAGGGGCCGACGATACCCAAATCAGAGGCTAACGAACGAAAGAGACTGAAAAATTCGGTCTAGATCTAGCTATGTTTAGATAAATGTGTGCTAATGTGTCTTGTAATGATAGATAAAGAAATAAGAATTGCCATGCCCGTGGGCTAGTAGGGGCGCTGGTCCGAGAATGACGTTTTTTCTAGCTTGTAAACGTGGACGTTTCTTTTCTTGGTGGATTTTTTTTTCTTCGGCGCTTTGCGGGTGTAGGTTCCCGAAATGCTGAAAAATCAGGTCGTAACAAAATAAGGATCGTCGGCATTCTTTCAGACGATATATAATACCAATCGATGCGCTGGCAATGCGAAAAAACAGATTATGCGTAATAATACACCCCCAGTTCACTGTTTACTTTTACGGGTTGTCCGTCTTCCTGAGGATTTATTGTTCATAATGTGAAAGTCTCTGTGCTACGTAAGTGAGAAATGCATCATGGAGCATCGATCATCGCCTAATCCGTTTTTTGCATCGCCAACCCGCGGATTGGTAATATGGATCGTCTGCAAGAATGCGGACGATCCTTATTTTGTTATGACCTGATTTTTCAGCATTAGAGACCGTCCGCCAAATGACTTTTAGGTTCCCCTTTCTTCAAATTTATTTAATCACTCATGCGTGAAATATATGCATCATATGAGTTGCATCAAATAAAAGAGGAGGATCTGTGTGTCATTGATTAAGTTATGATAAAACATTGATAATTCTCGGTTTCGTTTTTTCTGGGAAGCAATGTATAGTCTCTTCTACTATTAGATCCCAACTTTTTAAAACTTTTTTTTGACTGGCTTATTTTTCTCCCATCAGTAGGGGCGCTGGTCCGAGAATAAGGATCCTCCGCATAAACCAGGATATCCTCGTTAACGTGGAAAAATCAGGTCCCTTTCTTCAAATCGATTTTAATCACTCAAAATATGCATCATATGAGTTGCATCAAATGAAAGGAGAGGATCTAAGCTTGACAAATATGTTTCATTTATTAAATACAATTGTGATTAAGTTATGATAAAACAGATAATTCTTGGTTTTGTTTTTTCTGGTACGCACTGTATACTCTAGAGTCTATGTTTTAGAACTTTTCCCCTCTTGTTTTGATCTGCTGTCTCATTGAGGCCCGTACATCTTCCATGTACATGAAAAAGCGGTAAAAAGATAATTTTTTTAAAATCACAAATGACCAAGCATGTATCGTGCGTATCGCACATTAATCAACCTTTTCCAAACACAAATAGTTACCCTTGCCAGACGCACAACATGTGGGGGAGGGGGGTGGGGTGATTAACAAGAGATCTGTCTTTTTTCTT